GATACTCTTCTGTCTCTCAAGGTTGCTCTCTATACAAACATCCTTTAAAACATTATCCAGAAAACAAGTCAGTGCCTCTGCCTGCGCGACGTGCAGAAATGCGAGAGACCCATGGAGAACTGTTTCCCAAGAAGTAGGTTCTGTGTGTTCTTCTTTCTTCCTCTGATAAACCATCTTGTTTTGTGTTTCTTATTTCTTCCTCTTTGTTTCCTTTTAAGATACAGTTTAATCTACTAAAATTGTTTTTTAAAAATAGGTATCCTCTAATGAAAAAATTCAGCAGAAATAAAAATCTATCTTTAAGTCTATGAAAATAAAATTCAGGCCCAAACTGTTATGGCAGCAAAAAGTTAAAAGAGAATACTCAGAAAAAGGAAAACTTAGGCTGTATTTTTAAAGTATTAATTTTAGTAACCTTAACAAAAAATAAAAATCAAGAATGATATTTCTGGTAAGATTTCACACACTGGTTATGAGATAAGCTTGATCACAATTATTCACCGAGTAAAGGCAATTTCTATAATCACAACAATTTTTTAAAATCTGTTTTTGCTTAGTTAGAAAATTCATTTTAAATTAGAAAATTTAAACATTTAAAAACTGACATGAGTGAATCTAGCATAAATAATGTGATCATTAAATAGTAAAAAAATAAATTTCTGTAAAATAATATGAATGAAGTAGTTTCGTTTGATGGTCTAACACATACACATACAGTTTGTTTAATGCCCATTATTTTTACTATAAATTTTAGATTGCGGTCAAACTATACAAACTGCCGTAAGTCTGGATGACTGCAGTGCACTGTGGGCAGCATTATTGCTGTTCCCTTCGTTCTTCTTTTCCTCTGTTTTCTGGTTAATAAGAGTTTTGTGCTTACCCTCCTCCTTGAAGTGAGGCGTAGCCACGTGGGAGCTTTGGCCTGTAAATTGCGTGTCACTTTCAGGAGGAAGCATTTATTACCAGTGTTATGGAAACATGGGCTGAGTGGGAGGTGCTATAATACCAAAACAGCCTAGAAAGTGGACCAGCACACAAAGAAAGCGAGCCTCAGAGGACTTCACGTGAGCAAGAATGAAGCTTGACTTAATTCCGTTAATTCTATTTGGAGTTTTGCTTTTTTTCTTCTTTTTTTTAACCAAAGCTCCACTTTATAATGATGCTACTGCACCTTTTAATTTGTCATACTTTATGCCATGGATCTCAGATCTCCTTGTAGGATCTAGTCTCCTCAGGGGCTGTGGATATTAGCTCTATCCGTGTGCTCTTATGTTCCGAATGAACTAGTGCACCTTGGGTATAAGCTCAAAATGTTTGTGAGAAAGATGTCTCTTAGTATGTATTTACATGGAAAAGTTTTTTTTTCCTTGAAGCAGATGGAAAATCTATACATCAGGCAGTTGTGGTGGCTTGAAAGCTGCATTGAAAGGCACTGATAGTAATACATGGTAACTTACAGATCACTTGTGAGATTTATTTCATTTCTGCCCTGAGAAGTTCTGAGCAGCCTGACTTTTAGGGTGTAATATGCCTTATGTCTTTTTTCCCCCCCAAGGTGCTCTTCTTTGATGGGGATATAGTTTCAAGAAAGCTATTTTATTTAAATAAACTTAAATAAATTTGAAATGACGTGTTATAATGTTTTTGGTCCTTTTGTCCCCTTGTATTTAAAATAAAATGTTTATGAATGGGAATACTAAATGAAAATTCATTAATTCTTTCACCTAATATTTATCCAGTGCCTATTTTCTACTGAAAACTGTGCTAAGGCCCTGGCCAGATAGCTCCGTTGGTTGGTACATCACCCTGACATATCAAGGTTGTGAGTTTGATCATGGTGAGGGTCATACAAGAATCAAATGATGAGTGCTTGAATAAGTGGAACGACAAATCAGCTTCTCTCTCTCTCTCTGTCTCTCTCTCTCAAATCAGTTACACACACACACACACACACACACACACACACACAAACTGTGCCAAGCACTCGGAATATAATAGAGAATAAAACCAGACACAGTTCCAGTTTTCAGGCAGCCAGACATAAATCATCATCGTCATCATAGTGAATATATAATTATAAACTGAGACTGTAGTCTGAGAGAGTTACCCAGTTCTGTGAGGACATATAATGAAGAGAGCTAACCTAGACTGTAGGTAAGAAATGGTTTTCCTGATTTCCACAGTACGAATGAGTCCGCTAGGCAAACGGAAGATGAAGAAGAGGCTTGGAAGCAGGTTCTGGGCTGGGGGAACAGCGCAGGCAGAGGCCCTCGGAGAGCCAGGCGCCGTCCAAGAAGCGGGAACGCAGGAGTGAGGGAAGAGCGCACCGGGCACATAGCGTTCGAGGGCCTTTTTAATGGAGATTGGTCTTTATCTTAAGAGTAATTAAGAAGTCATTGAAATATTTTAAACCTGAGGCTAATGGGACTAGATTAAGTTTTTGAAAAGGGCGTTCTGTTGGCAGCATGAAAATGTCCTGGGAGGGGCCCAGGCTGCGTGGTCGAGGAGACCAGTTAAGGGACTGTCGTGGTGGGCCAGGGAAGGAGCGGAGGTGGTAGGACTAGTGCCGTGGCAGGGGTGGTGGACTGCTAGGGGCACACTGCAGATTCAGTTTCTAGCACTTCATGAAGTATCCTGGGTGAGGGAACGAACAGTGGCTCTCAAGGAAGACTCCCAGTTCCCTGACTTGCATTACTGAATGGATGGTGATCATTTTCATTGAGGTTACAGTGGAAAAGAAACTGGTGTGGACAGGGTGTATGTAGGAAAGGATCATGAATTCAGTCTGAGGTTTGAAATGCCTTTGAGTTATTCAAGGGAAATGTTAAGTAAACATTTGAGAATATATATTTGGAGTTCAGATGAGAGATCAAAGACTTGAGATAGAATTTTAAAAAATGTATTTGAAGATAATTCATCAAGATTAAGTTCAACTGCAAATGAGAGAAAATCCAAAATATCAAGAGCTTAAGAAGATTTTTCCCACGTAAAAGTTTAGAACAGTGCCGTCCAACAGAAATACAATGTGAGCCATATATGTAATTAAAAAATTTTAATTAGCCATGTTAAAAAAGGAAAAGAAACAGTTGAAATTAATTATAATAATGTACTTTATTTTACCCAATATATACAGAGTGTATATACACAAAGTGTATGACTGGACATGTAATCAATATAAAGTTATTAATGAGCTGTTTTACTTCTTTTCTCACACTGTCTTCAAAACCTGATGTGTAATTTATACACGCTGAGCACAGCTCAGCCTAGACTAGCCATATTTCAAATGTTCAATAGCTACGTATGGTTGAGAGGCACTATGCGGAACAGCACAAGTCTAAAGGCGGGAGGCCCGGGGCTGACGGAGCATTTTGAAGTATCAGAGACGCGGGCTTCTTCCGTGTGGCCTCCACTTACAAGGTCACTTCTTAGTCTAGAGTGGCTGATGCAGCTCCGTCGATCACGGCTGCGTTCCCGTTAGCAGAGAGGAAGACAGGGAAAGAGAAAGCTATGGTTTTTGTCTTTCAAGGCTGCTTCCTGGAAATGTATCTACCGCCTTTATCTGCATCCTCTTGGTCAGGATTTGGCCATATGACTTGAAGACCAGACAGTTAACTGTAGGGAGGTGGGGAAATGTAGCTTTTAGTTCAGGTGGCTGTGTGACTAGATATAAGTCAGGAGTTCGATTGCTGCAGAACCCACGGGGTACAAATCACCCGTGACCCATAACAGATAAGGTTTTTTGCTTCCCTTTTCCTATACTACAGTTGTACGGGAACAGGGTAACTAAAATAGAAACACCCATTTGGGAAAGGAGGGACCGGGTGGTGCCCAGATCCCAATATGCAGAAAGAGGGAGGGCTGTCTTCCCTGAGAGTAGAGTAAGCTTCTGAGTTAGCCCACGTTCTCTCCTCCCACCCCATCCCTTGTCCCCTGCCCCCTGCCCCCT